ATATGAATAATATTCCTTATTTTTATTCGAGTCCAACTACGAAATATTGCACAACATATTATACAGAATCATTTTAATGTTCTACACTTAAAAGCAAATCGAATTTTTATTCTATACGTTTATCAAATAATTATCCATGGATTTATTATGATATGATTTACTGTTCGCCAATCGGCACCATATCTGACAGTCTGTGTTACTCTCACTCAGGATAAATTTTATGCCTGAAAATTAAGTCATCAGTTACTTATTCAAGTGCTACATATCCAATCGTCGTTTAAGTTTAAGGTATAACCAACCTGTTCGACATCCGAGAATCGAAGGACGAAATGGGACCCAAGTCGTTTCGTGGTTTACTTCGACTAATCCTCCACTTCAATAGGGCCACTTGTTGGACGGTGCGCTCACCCAACTTCCCATAACATAATATAATAAGAGTCAACTTGTTTTCTCTTTCTTAATCTGCATGAATACAGATTAAATGCAACAGTTTTTCTAACTTACGAAGCAAGTCTAGCACTTATTTTATGGTATTATTTCACATTTTTCTATATTCTTCTCACTCCTATTACTCGTGATTTTAGCTCCGTATAGAATATTGATAAATGCAAATAAATACTATTAGATTTAGTAGGAATAGGACTCTGTAAATTTATATATTCTGTGAAACTTTTTCCATTATGTTGCATGCCTATGTATATAGCCTAGAACTTGGCTTTAAAAGATGTTCAGAACATGTAACTTCTATAGCTTTTTAACCGTCGATTTTCATCTTCATCTTTATTATTCTTTTGACATACTCCAACAAGTAAATTTATATGTACGGGATTCGTGTTGCCTGTTCCATTATTGTTTACATGCTTCATATCTGTATAACGATGAAGTATAAGTTGTGAGTTTAATCTGGGCAGCTAAACCGCCCGTTGTTAATGATCTATTTTAAGAGCAAAACTACTTCAGCATATTATAGTCTACTAAACGCAAATTTGGTTGTTACTACGAAAAACAATTTTGTCGTTATCAATCTACTAACACCATCTGTAATACCAGATCGTAAACAAAAATTAAAAAAGAATTTACTTTGTAATTGTCTCAAAATTATATGAGAACATTATTAATTTGTTCATGTTTTAGACTAATTTTAATTAATTAATAAATAACCATTCCCTTGGTTATTGCAGTCATTAAGTTAAAGTTTACAATATACTCAAGCAATCTTTCCGAAAATATCTTTCCGATAAAATAATAATGCAGCAAAACCGAATTCACCTGATCAATTTTTACTACATTTTTATTTCTGTTTCTCTTTTTATTTTCAAACATTTTGTTTAGTTTTAAATAAACAAATATTGAATTGAAAACATTTTTTATTTAATAATTTCTGATATCTTCCAAACAAAGCATAAATACTCCAAATAAATTTCATCCAACAAAGAATTATTATAAACATATAAGCTACACATTAGAAATTTTTAAAATTCAAATAATTTCATATTGGTTGTAGTACTTTTTACAGTTTGGAAGTATTTCTATGCACATATAGATACATATATATATATATATATATATATATCTATATATATATATATATATATATCATATATATATATATATATATTTCCTATGAATTTACAAGGTACGGCATTTAATAACATGCATTTGATCAGGTAAGTTGATAGAACCAGATATTTTGAAGTGGATGAAAATGTAAGAAAAAGCTTACTTCACTAACATGACTATCAAATTTTTATAGCGCAAAATTGAAAACATGGATCTGGAATATATATGATTTCAACAGGACGATGTCGGAATCCAAAACATTCCCCTCTCCTTTTTTGTTTTGTTATGCGAGAAATTTGGTAGGCGTGTAATTTAAACTTTTGATGTTGTGTATTAGCCACCAATTCGTCTTATCTTCACTTGACTTTTTTTATATGGTTATGAAAATAATAATTTTTATGCGGATATATCACAAACTGTAGATAAAACCGACAATCCATCAAAATTTATCTCAAATTGAGATAAAATTGATACTAAAAGATATCGCATGAAAGATATATAAATAACTTTAATATCTGACGACAAAAAAATTTATTGTATACAAAATTATACAATAAATTTGAGGAAAATCTCAATCACAAGTGATACAAATATTTTTTATGGTCAGCCAAAAACTCAATTAATTAAAATAATATAAAATAAATTTTTGTTGTTGTAGTTCGCTATTGTTCGAAAAACCTCTTTATTTTTTATTATATAAAAATATAGCACAGTGGGCAAATAGTCCAAAGTGGATCTGCTTTGGATCGCCGGTATTGCCTATATAAAAATATACAGTTTTTTATATTTTCATGTAAATGATAAATTAAATTGAAGGGCGTTATATAAGTTTTTTATATAACATTAGATTTGAACGCAAATATTTTAATTTTTAAATATATTTCATTTCATTTACTTGATTGTACTTACAGAAACTCTTTCAGTATAAGTACAAAGTAAATATTTTGATTGAACGTATATTTACTAGTATTTACAAAATAAAATGCAAACTTGAACAGTTCATTTTGTTTTAATAAATTTTTGCGGACGTCGTTTACGTTCAAATCTAATCAGCGTACACCCACCGATAATTTCGAATAAATGAATTCAATTTATTTAGAATGCCTATTATCTGCCAATTATACGCTGATAAAGCATGCAATCGCAAACTTATAAAAGTACGAATTATTTGGAAAATAAAATTGTTAATTTCATTTGCTCTAAACGAATATAGTTTTAGAATTTATTAATATTTTTATTGCAATTTTATTTCATTTTATTTAAAGGCAGTAGTAATATGTTAACAATTCATTAACTATATTTATATTCTATATTCGATTCCTGGTACTTGGAGTCTCAAAAATAATTATTTACGAAGAATTAAATACAAGAATTATTTCCAAGACCACTGATAATAGGTATTTGGCAATGCTCAAAGCAGATGCATGGTCAGCCAAAATACAATTGATTAAAACTAATATAAAATGAATTTCTGTTGTTGTAGTTTACTACTGTTCGAAAAAACCTCTTTATTCTTAATTATGTTAAAACATTTAATATTACAAATAAACAACGATTTTAAAAGAATATGTATAGCATTTACTTGTTATTCTAAAACTTATAAAAGAGCGAATTAACTGTATATTTCTAGAACTCGAAAGTTATCAGGGATTTATATTCCATAGCCATTTTCAGATATCCTACATAACAGCCACATCGATTCTCACACCTTTTAGATGGTAATTCTTAATGAAGTATATAGCATTGAAGAAAAGTAATTTTATACTGACATCAAATACATGTATTTGAATCACACCTGGAACAAAATTTAAAGGGAGACAAAATGGTGTTGACATACAGCACCTTAATTTTTCTTATTCAACACGCTTCCACTGTTCTTATTCATTACTACATCCTATTGTAATCGTTGCTGATGAATACCTCCAAAGATTATATTAAGTTACCAGTGTATACATATAATTTAAGTATGTCAAAATTTTTAAATCGTGTATAATTGAATCACTTAATACGTTTTGATCAGAAGCTAACATACCTGGTCATTAGCACCTCAACTACTATGAAAAATAAAGTACAGATACCAAAGATCTAAGATAATGGGAACTACTTATTCGTATCAACAACATCAAATTTTAACATAGATTGATTTCTTAACAGGACATGCACCTGTTAGCTGCGACAATTTAAAGCCGTAATTCATTCTTGAAGACTGTGAAATGTTCTAAATAGATTGCGTATGTCTATCTAATTGGTTTATATTATTGATGCCCTTATTAATCCATTTTAACTTTTCTCTGAATAAGAATATTCCATATTCTTATGAATACTTTGAGTTATATTTTGCAATAAACTGAATAAAAAATTTCTGTGGTGACTAGATCCTTCATGCAGCGGGCTTATTTTCGAAGCTTTACTTTTGATTGCTCGACAGTTCATCCCAGTACTTATCTTTACACTGGTATTATTAACTTCCAATATTATTATGCTCATGAATATAATATTTCATTGAATTATCCTCGTTGAAAACCAAACAAATTTTGTTTAAGAGTCTTGACTAAAGCGAATGGCACATTCCATTATCTTAAATTAAGAGTGGTTTTCTGATAAATAATTTTTTTTACAGGTAACAACAGCAATAAATGAATTCCTATATACCACGTTATTGCACAATAAAGACAAAATTGCAAGCATAAAATAATACTTGCTTAAAAAGCTGAAATTCATAACTCAATCAACGAAAAATGTAGGAAGGTATGGGTCAAGCACTGCTGTAGATTTATTTCACTTGTTAAAATCTACTTAAAAGGCGGTGAAATAAATATTGATTAAATTATAATTTTTTTTAATAGTTATATCAATAAAGCCAACAAATTTATGTCAAAACCAATTTTCTCACAATTAACAATATTTTTTTTGCAGTAATGTATTTAAAACGAATTTCTTAAGAATTTATAGATTCTATTTATTTATACAATTTGAAATTTGATTGTCTGCAGTTTAATCTCATTTTCTGAAAAATCGTTCCAATAATCTTACTTAATTTATAGAAAACAGCTGCAGTTCTTCAAACCATTAAACCTGCTACTTAAGTTAAATATAGAAAAAATTTATTTCGAACTTTAAGAAGAAGCATACAATAATCGAAAATATTTTATATATTTTGAATAATCTGTGAAATCTTTTAAGATATTTGGTGCATTTCATAGCTCCTTTGACTAAAATATTAAATTTATAAGTAAAAATTTAAGTATTTTCTTCTTTAATTTGTCGTTTCATATCTAATATTCCATATAACATACTTTTTCAACACACAAAATTCCTTACTACTACAACGATTTAGTTTATCAATATTGAACCCTTAACCTTTGAATCTTTTTTCTTTCTTATTTTTATATATTTGTTTTAGACTATATATCGGGAACAAGCTCTATGGTACTCAAACCTCATGTATTTTCACTCTAATATCAAAAAAAAAAAAGTTTAAATAAGCTTTTACATCAAAAGAAAATCGCTTAAATTGGTTCTCTCTAATATCTCTAATAGATCTCTTGGTCATAGTGCAATAGAGATTATTATAATAATAATAAGTCCATTGTGTGTTATATATGGACACTCTCTTCAATTCAACGAAAACCGTATATCATATATCAGAGCTGCCCAGGCCAGATGTCATCGCGAACCAAAACAAATAACTGTACAGATGAAAGGGCCGCACAAACAAATATATACGTGTTTTGACAAAAATAAGAATATAATGTTATAATGTTAAACTAAGATTTATTAATTTATTAATTTAAATTCATTCATTTGGTGTACCAAAAAAGAAAAATAATATAGTCTTACCAGTACATCAAATGAAAATTTGCACAATTGTAGTAAATTAAAATAATGTACTTTAGACATAATGTACTTTAGCGTGCCGTACTTTAGACAGTCCTGCCATATAGGTATGATACACTTATTAACATTCACCAAACATCTGCAGTGATTGAGATCTTACACTGCCCTTTATAATTGGAATTATAACAATTAAATTTTTAATCTAGTTTTGTACTAGAATGAAAAACTAAAAATAATTATAGGGTAAACATAGACACTTAAGTAATTATATTATTTAATTATCAACTTCTCAGTCATATATCTGTGAGATTCTTTAAAAAAAAAATATTTATTTAATTGTAATTCAACTACACTATAATTTAAAGTAAGAGAAAGAAATTCTATATGCAATTTTTCTTAAACTGTTTTTCTTAAACTAAAAGAATTTAAGCACTTAACTTATTAATTATTCTATGAATTTCCTGTGATTTAGCTATTGATTTATAAACTGAATTATAAAACAGCTTTAGCTTATTTCTAATATTGATAAACAATATTGGTTTTTCCAATCTATTTCTTAACAAATTTAAAATCGTATAG